ACACACATATAAACATATATATAGTAGATATCCTGGCTTTCTCAGACCGTCTCATCCATGTTTTTTCATCCAGTGTTTCAGTCTACCTAACATAGATTTTTTTGTTAGGAACTAATTTTTCTTCTCTTGGACTTTCATTTACTTTGGAAACAAGTTTTCTCTTTTAATGATACGATTTTTAAAAGTTTTCCTCATATTTCATAAGAATATGAAAAAAAAATCATATTCTCCACCTCCTGGATAAGAATGCATCTGGATTAAATTTTTATTATTCTTCCTAAAAGGTGAATTTGCATTTTGTGAAGCAGTAGACTAGCTGTGGCTGCCAAGGCGAGTCACATGCCAACCTGAAGAGAAGGTGCCACTGGCCGGAAGGGCCCCAGCCTTAGAGGAGGCTAAATTGAGCATTTGACTTCGCCTGTCTATCCTTAGCAAATGTTAGAAATACTGAATCAAGATTTTTCTCATTTTATGTCTCATTCTGCTAATGACAGTTTTCTACCTGCAGCACATCTTGCTGTGGGTATTTTAGATAATTTCCTTTTTACCTGGCCACACAAAAGAGACAATCATACTATGCAAAGGCCATTGTTGCTAGGTTTCCTTCCTTCTTCCTTCCTTCCTTTGTTCCAGGATTCCAACAGTGAGTGGAAAATCCATGTAGACATGAGAGTCACTGCCACCCAGCCCAAAACCACCTGAGCTATGGAGAGTCCAGCCTGGTGACACCCCATGAGAGAGTATTTTCTCATCTTGGTGGCGACTGGGATACATTTCCTTGCCATGAAATACCGCATTCTTTTGTTCATTCATTGAGCAGCTTCCACATGGAAGTTATGACTACAGAGATTCATATAATATATTATCATTGCTTCAAAAAGCTCAGCATTTCATTTCTTGGGCACAGATCTCTACTTGCCCGCTCTTGAATATCAGTTCCACGGTATCTTGCAATGACAACTGATATATGTACTAAAGACTTTGCCAAACTTCATCTGTGTTTTCTCCCACCAGATCTACCAGAAAAGTTCCAAGGTTAGGGGGACCCGGCTGGCTCAGTTGGTAAAGCATGCAACTCTGGGTCTTAGGGTCATGAGTTAGAGCCCCACTTACAAAAAAAAAAAAAAAGTTCCAAGATTAGAGTTTTACCTAGTGAACCTTCACATGCTGGCTTTTATTTATTTATTTTTTAAAGATTTTATTTATTTGACAGAGAGACACAGCGAGAGAGGGAACACAAGCAGGGGGAGTGGGAGAGGGAGAAGCAGGCTTCCCGCGGAGCGGGGAGCCTGATGCGGGGCTCGAACCCAGGACCCTGGGATCATGACCTGAGCCGAAGGCAGACGCTTAACAACTGAGCCACCGAGGCGCCCCCACATGCTGGCTTTTAAAAGGAAGGTCTAAATAATCTATAAGCTGTTAGAAGTTGAAGTGAACATAATGGGAATAAAAACAACTCCTGGATGACTGAGAATTGTAGATCTTTTAAGTATGTTTCTATGGCTTGACTGGCAAAAAATGTTCTGCTAAAGCACAAGGATCCCTTAACAACTCACTGAAGACAAAAAATAAGTAGAACAGCTTGTCACTCTGTGGTCAACAGAGACTAACTACAAAGACTAGTGTACCTTAAGCCAGTGGATGATTCCTGAAAAGTATTTGCAGAGGACAGTAGTGAAAGTCAATCAGATTCTCCTGATTGTTTCTTAAATATCCATGGTGGGGAAAAAAATGAGATGATCACAAATTGTTGAGCTATCCCTAGGAAGTTCTCATTGTTATGCATCTAATGGGGTCTTTTGTTTTTAAATCAGTATTGCCTCAAAGTAATGTTCAATTTGCTATTCTCACAACACAGTGGGCCTAACACAGAGGCCTAGTTGATGTATTTTATGAGGGACCAGGGAAACGTCGGCCTGAAAATACTTCCCTTGCTAATGCTGCAAATTTCTCAGTTAGTAATTTGCTCACCCTGCTTTAGTCCATTGCCCTTTCTCAACTCATTTTTATTGAAAAATCAAAGAGGATTTTCAAATATGGATGGAATCTGCACGGGAATGGAATCTGCACGGGCTCCTAAGTAATAACATTTTAAGCTCTTTTTTCATTCTTTTGAAATCAGAATAACAGACCTGGGGAGACCAGGGCCCAAGAGCCAGATCTAACTTTCTCTGATTTTATTCAACTGCATACGTGACTTCTGAGTGAACAAGGCCCTGTATGTTCTTTTAAGGAATGTTTTCTCAGAGTTGAAAATATGGAACTATTTCATTGAAGTCTATCTATTTGCTGCATGTTCATTTATCTTGGTGTATTTACCTTATACTATTCTTGACATGAATCAACTGTATTCATTTCTTTTCATTTCAATTTCTATACTCCTAC